GCTGTCTTATATTTTTACTTCTATAAATATATGTACAAATATTTACACAGTCGATTAAAGTTGGAAACATTTCTAACAAGATCTAAGCGTTTTGAAAAAGCCAGCAACAATTTACATACACCAGTTTGAAATAGACCCTTCCTATTCCTCTTATGATAATCCATCTGAGGGCTTCTGCTTTAAGGGATGAGCGCAACACTTTTTTGTAACACAATAAGAAGCCCTCTGGAGCTGCGATGAGGCTGTTTTTTTCATTGGCAGCTTTTCAAGTATCAAGCATACTTAACCATTCGATTGATTTCACTACTTATAACTGATACTTATGAGTGCGACATACCTCTAGTGAGCGCTCAGCCCTTCGTATATTTCTCTGTATGTGGCCCTCGGTGAAAAACGTTTGGACCCCCCTGGTTTAAGGGCTCAGGGATGCATTACAGAATGTAAGTAAGGATGTTTGTTCACTAACCTGCCACCAGCTTGCTCTTGCGCGAGGCCTCGGAGGCCAGAGCGTGCGACACACTCATGATCCTCTCCTGCTGCTGCAGAGCTGCGTCCAGATCACCGAAGTCCAGCGGATCGGACGGCTGTCTGTTCTGATAACTGGAGAGAGAACACACACACTTAGAAAGAACAACTTGCACCATGGGCACATACAGTATGACTTGCATTATGTACCTACTTTCTATACAAATAAACATCTGTTTCTGATATTCTTAACCAATAATATCTGTATATATGTCCAAAGTGCACCTAACTCTAGTGGTGATATATTGATATGTATATACTGTAAAATGTTTCCTTTGTTTCCTTGTCTTATTCCTGTTGATGCTTTAAAATGATCTTACAGGAATCCAAAAAAGGTGTTTCTTGAACCAGTGGATTCATAAATAACACACTCACATACTGATAACCATTTAGGCCTTCATTCCCAGAGGGATACAGTAGAAGCTGAACTCACTGAATGTATATCAGTGCATTTCACTCAGATCATAATCCCCCTTGAACACCTTCCTAGGCTGAAGACTTGCTTTTTGCAGCTACTTTGAATTGAACTATTCACATCTTACACTGACTGCACTGTAACTTGTGTTTCTGATGTGTTTTATGCTCTTAAAGGTAGGGTAGGTAAGAATGGAGAAACCAGCTCGAGTGCGCTAGAATTTGAAAGTACGCAGCCGAAAAAAATCTGCCCCTTCCTTCAGACTTCCTTACAGAGCCCCACCTCCAACACACACTAACGCGCACATGACCAATGAGGGCACGAGATAAGTTTGTGCACAGATGGAAGGCTGACAGGCAGGTAGGTCATCCAGTTACTTTAGCCTGGCCGGCTCAGATGATTGGTCGTGCTTTTTACAGCGCCACGGCTTCCACAGATGATGATTTTTTGTCAAAGCATTTAATATATTCATTGCTATCGGGATGTTAAGAGCATTCCATGGAATATAACAAAGTGTTTCTGAAGGGAATTACCTACCCCACCTTTAATGTCTTTTTGTAAAGCACTTTGAATTACCTTATGTTGAAAAGTGCTGTATAAATAAACTTGCCTGGCCTTCCCTGGATTTACTTGAAATAAAAGGCAGACATCTTAATGACCCCAGCTCCTGTGTGAGTACCTGGACTTAGCGAGCAGGTTCTTGATGCGCTGCGTCCGGCGGCTGCGCTCCTCCTGCTCCTCCAGACTGAGGGGCTCGTCGGGGTCCGACTCCACGTAGCGCTCGGGGATGGGAACCTTCTGAGGTTTGCACAGCTGCATGGGGAGATGACAGGGCAGCAGTCTTAAAATCCCATTATGTGGTGATGACGCAACCATTTTAAGTTTGTCTCTTCCAGTAGAAGTGAACATGAGGTTGCTTTTCATAACAATGGTAACTAATTCTCTCTTGGATATTTCTTCTACATTAACAGTGATTTGTGCCTTTATCTAAAGTTCCTATTCAGTTCTTAAATCTGGCATTCATTTAAGAATATTTGAACAATTCACTTAAAAAGACGTGGTTTGCAAAAACATTTCAATAGACTTTATTAAACTGCCATGCAGTGAAATGTGAATGCTTTTATCTAGCACAAGATTTTGGGGTTACCACAAATTGGATTTGAATAGGGCTGTTGAAGTACAGCGCAGAGTTAAGGCTGGTTTTAAACCCCCTTTTATACATCCTCATGGACCCTTCGTTTTATGGAATTGTATTTATTGTACTCTAACTGTATTTGTGTCATTGTGTTACGTTCCTTTTTAAATTGGTATTTTCACATTGATCTTGTAAGATACGTTTGTTGTTTTTACATTGTTTTACATTGCCAATTGTTTTTGTTGACTTGTGAAGCCCTCTGAGACAAATAGGATTTGTGATTTTGGGCTATATAAATAAACTTGAATTGAAGTCAATGACTCACACCTATTTAAAAACCACACAGAAAAACCCATTTGATTGACAGGCCTCCCAGGGTCTAGACTTTCCCCTTTCAGGATGTGATTTAAATACATGTTATATATACAATTTAAGAATGGTTGCATAATATTCAATATGAGCTCAGCACACTGATGAACTGAGAACTAAAGTGCCGATTTAACTGTCAGAGGATTATCATCTTTTGATGTGCTCTTAGGCCTCTGCGCAGGCGACAGCTGTGGCCGTATGAATTATGTTTTGGGGTTATTTAAATCTGTCCATCCCAGGAACGGATTTCTCACAAATGGATTTGACACAAATGTCTACTTGGATTAGATTTTGGTTGTCAAAGTTTAAAGTCACTGTGATGTAATGAAACCCATTTTAGGCTGTACCGAGAATTGATATGCTAATTAAGACATTTTCACACATATCTAATAGAATAAAACTTCACATATTGGACGAACGGATGTTAAGACGTTGTTGTAAAGATGTAAGCCGCAGTCAGTGTGTGTGTGTCTGTCTGTCTGTCTGTCTGTCTGTCTGTCTGTCTGTCTGTCTGTCTGTCTGTCTGTGTGTGTGTGCGCCTACCTCCCGGCTGATATCCAGGTCGTAGTCCAGAGGCTCCACATCCACCTCCCGTATGTGTGTGGCTGTGACCGTCACCCACTCATCTGATTGGATCCTCCCTCTCTCCTTGGCCTGGCTCCACCCTTCATCACTCTGACCCTCTGCAGCCAGTCGCTCCTCCTTCCAGTCAAACACCTGCAAACAGCAGGAGTCATTATTACAATCTTTAAAGTAGATCACAAAACCTCTCTTTCTGGACATGTGTTTGAAAGGTGTTACCATCAAAATGTACTTAAAGCTGTTGATATTATTTCCACTGATTAACAGGATTTCAATATAGACAATATCCCCCTAACAGTGAGTAACATTGTACATAAATATATATCAAATATCTGCTATATTGCACCCAGTGTCCACATTAAATCTACTTATATTGAGTTTAAGCCTTTAAAGATCATACATTGTTAGTTAAACAATTATTAAACTTGTATGAAGTTGATTTGCAGCATATTTTATAATTACTTGGTTAGCACAAACGCTGAGAAATGAGTATACTTCAGCTGCAAAATAAAAAATAATTGCTGGTTATCCGATGTTTTCTTTGCTATTTAACAGGATTAATTTTGAAAAATAAACACCATAGTTGCAGCCTTGGTAGTTTAACAGTAAAGGATTATAAAAAATACTTAAAAGCAGGTTTATATTCTTCAATAAAGGGAAATAAAAGACAAAGCCACATGAAGCTGTGTCAGGTAGGGCAAAAAAGGGAGTGAATAGGGAAATGCAGTAGCACTGTAGTAAACTAAAGAATCATTTCAAAAATATAATATAATTTGGCGTAAAACAATATGTAATCTCTGCAGTAGTTGTGCTTCAGATAGAGGGAGACAAAGATGCATTTAAACATTTTTTTCAACCTAGAATAAATATAGAATAGTTCCTCCAGGAATTAGATAGTACCATTTTTTAGAATCATTACTAGAGAAAACCCAGGAATAAGATTTTAATTACACACATCCCTTCTCTCCTATGCATCTACACAAATACTCTGAGTCCCAGACAACATGTGTGTGTGTGTGTGTGTGTGTGTGTGTGTGTGTGTGTGTGTGTGTGTGTGTGTGTGTGTGTGTGTGTGTGTGTGTGTGTGTGTGTGTGTGTGTGTGTGTGTTGAGTT